CTAGTGTGTTTGAAGGACTCCTACATACCTTTCGAATATCTATACGAGAGGTATGGCCATAGAAAGTCTTTCCGCACTTACCATGATGATATCGCCCTCCCTTCACTGGGTCACATCCACCGCAGAGTGTTTGTGTTCATTGTGTGCTTTCTAGGCCTGATAGTGTTCCCAATGAAAAGGGGAAGAATCCACACTAGGTTGGCCATGGTCGCCAAGACTCTAATGGAAGGTATTAATGGACAGACATATACCATAGTCCCCATGATCATAGTCGACATCTGCAGGGCCCTGGAGTGCTGTCAAAGAGGGGTAAAGCAGTTCGAAGGTTATAATTTATTGTTGCAGTTATGGTTGTTGGAGCATCTCCAAAAGGGTCGCTATCGTCAAGAATTTTTGTGAAGGGCTTGGAACGACCACATTGCCTTCTATCACCCTAAGTAGATGACCTACATTCCAGACAGATTTGCTCAGCCGGAAAGTGCCAACGAATGGGTAGAGTTATTCGGCAATCTGACCGAGGGGCAGGTGCAGTGGATGGTTGAATGGTTCCCAACAGACGAGTTTATTATCAAATCCAGATATGCTCTGCACTTGGCATTGATCGGGTTGAGAGGGATATATCCATACGTTCCTATGCTACTTATGAGGCAAGCAAGCAGAAAATAGGTTGTACAAGGGGTCGTCAAGATAAGTCATTTTAGGGCGGATTTCCAAGACGACGACGTGCCTTACAAGTGCCAAGCTCAGCAGATATGGAACAGCAAAATCATTGTAGAGAAAAGCACTATTAAGCCAGACGGATGTCATGCGGGGTGCGAGCCTTTCTACCCGTCATGGTTGGAGGACAATCTAAAAGGAACGGTGACACCGGGGACTGGTCGAGGGAACAAAATCATAGACGAGGAAGCTGAAGCCCAAGTCAAATACAACAGGCTGCGCAAGAAGGTTCACGACTCTAAGAATGAGCATAAGGAAATACATGAGAGGAACGTGAGGTTGATTGAGGAATGGAAAGAGATGGGGGTCACTTCCAATAGGAAACTGGAATATCTGGAGCGAGGAATAATAGAGCTGGAGGGCAAAGTCATAAAGAGGATTGAAAACTGCCAGAATGCTGAGGGAGGACATCTGGCCCAAGCCTACTTGTTGTTGGGACTGCGTGAGTTGGGAGATTTGTTTGATGGATTTCGGAAGATCGAACCTAGGGAAGGTCCTTCTGAGACCAAATAGATTAGATTTACTTGCTTTTCTTAAAATGTAATAAGGTCGAGTGCCAGTAGCAACTTGTTTTATTATGTTAATGTCGTTTTGGATTCGTCTACTTTTATATTATGAAATGAAGCATTTATGGGCATTTGAAGTTCTCTAAATTTATTTGTCCCTAGGCCTACCTCGGGCGCAACGAGACTCCCAAATTAGGATACGAGTTTACAGTTCGCCATATGTGTTTAAATACTACAAACATTTCAGAATCCTCACTAACTTGTTACCTTTTTATTTTTGCTTATTTTTATTATTATTCCCATCCCCATAGGTTGGTTCATCCATACTGGCCTCATCAACATATCATACCAGATATAGAGGCCCTCCACCTCCTCCTCCTCCAAGCAACACAAACGGCAAAGGAAAATCAAAGATGGACGACTTAAGTAGAATACGAAAGGAAAATGTTGAGAACGCAGAAACTTCCGACGGTCGCAGTACTCTAGCCCCGAATGACCTGGTTTTGAGACTGGAACAAAAGATACTAGAATTGCAAGGAGAACTCAAGCAGGTCCGCAATTTGGCAAACTTTCACTCACCCTCAATATCCATGATATCCATCAATAGAACGTAAAGAACCCAACACCACCTTAGAACACACAAAACCAACAACCACAAAATCCTACCGCATCAAATCAATATGCAACTCCACCACAAAATATCAATCCATTCCCAATACCATCTCCACCACAACATCATCATTAACCAATTTCGTACCTACCAACCACCACTTACCACACTCCCCAAAATACACCACCACTCATTCCCGATCCACAAAACTCTACTAACGACCATCACTATACCCAAGTCCCTGGCACCCATTAGAGCAACCCCATATACATGGAAACTATACCACATTCCACCCAACCAATCTCCTATGCATCGGAACCCTCCGAAAAGGACCTGCTCATTAAGAACATGGCCAAAGAACTTAAGAAGTTAACAAGCCGAGTTCAAGATGTTGAAGGCGATAGAGGAATAGAAGGTTTGAACTACGAAGATCTGTGCATATAGCCCGATGTGGAATTGCCAGAGGGGTACAAACCTCCCAAGTTCGAAATGTTCGATGGTACAGGTGATCCCGGAGTTCACCTAAGGACCTACTGTAACAAGCTTGTCGGGGATGGAAAAGATGAAAAGATTCGAATGCAGATCTTTATGAGGAGCCTTACTGGGGACGCTTTGTCTTGGTATATCAACTAGAATCCCAAGAAATGGTCCAATTGGGTGAGCATGGCGTCGGATTTCATGGACCGATTCAGGTTCAACACAGAGAATGCACCCGATATCTTTTACATTCAGAATATCAAGAAGAAACCCACTAAAACTTTCCGCGAGTATGCTACTCGTTGGAGGTCAGAAGAAGCTAAGGTCAGGCCCTCTCTAGACAGAGAGCAAATGAATAAATTCTTCGTCAGGGCAGAAGATCTGCAATATTATGAGAGGTTGATGGTTATCGAAAATTACAAATTTTTTGATATCATTAAGCTCGGGGAAAGGATCAAGGAAGGAATCAAGAGCGAGATGGTAATGAATTTCGAGGCACTACAAGCCAAAAATAAGGTACTCCAATCAGGCGGCATATCGAAAAAGATAGATGTTGGGGCAGTAATGGGTGCCCTGGGCCTAAAAACTCCACTGACATATCAAACACCTCCACCCACCTACCAGACACCTCCACCCACCTATCAAATACCTCCACCTATATACCAAACACCTCCACCCACGTACCAAGCATCACCACCTACATATCAGCCTTCATCTCCCAGATATTCCCAACCAGACACTAACCATCACAGCTATAATTCCCAACCATCCCATTTCCAATCACCACCAACTCGCAAATATTATCCAAGACCAAAACCCAACTTCGACCGCAAGTCACCTAGACAATACACCGCCATTGCTGAGCCCATCGACAAATTGTATGAAAGGTTAAAGGTCGCAGGTTACATCACTCCTGTTCCAGCTGTGGCACTAGAAAATCCATCCCAATGGGTCAATCCGAACAAAACCTGTGCGTACCACTCTGGTATGAAAGGGCACACCACTGCTGAGTGCTGAACATTGAAGGACAAGATCTAGACACGCATTGACAACAAGGTCATACAAGCGAAGGAAGCTGCACCTAATGTCCGCAATAATCCCCTCCCTGATCACAAAGGTGATGCCGTACATGCTATAGAAACAAATGAGGAATGGGACCCTGAGGGGTCAATCAGGCTTATTTGAGAAGGCGATGACTGCAAGGTTGCAGTTACACTTACTCCTATCGTAGTTCAGACTCAGGAACCTATTGATGTTGAGGTAACTAGACAAATTCCATTCGAAGTAGAAGTAGCTCCGCCCCCAGCCACCTCTGTTCTATTTGAAGTAGAAATGGTCACACTTTTTACTGTGACGGTGTCAACCATAGCCCCATTCAACTCAAAAGCAATACCCTAGGATTATGTTGTTGAGGCTCGGCAAAAGTGGAAGACTAAGATAGAGGAATCCAATGCCGCACAAGGAATGACTAAAACTAGAAGAGTGTACACACCTAAACACCTGGAGGTTCAAGTAAGGATGCCACTGCGAGGTAGCTTGTCATTGAGACTGGGCCAGATGACATGTGGAGGAAAGTTCAGGCGAAGGAGTATTCTACTGTTGACCATCTGAACAAAGTCCTTGCTCAGATATCTATCCTGTCACTATTACAGAATTTAGAGGCAGACAAGAACGCCTTGATGAAAGTACTGACCGAGGCTTATGTACCCAATATATCACTGGTAGATAAATGGCCAACATGGTTAGTGAGGTGCTGGAGAGCCATAAGATTATCTTCCACGAAGATGAGCTGCCACCTGAAGGTCTAAATCACAATCGAGCATTGCATATTATGGTGGAATTGAAGACAAGCTCATTGTCAGGGTCCTGGTTGATGGAGGTTCGAGTCTAAACATTTGTCCGTTGGACACCCTGAAAAGGTTGGACAAAGGTCTCCATGAAATACGGACACGCAGCATGAATGTGAAGGCTTTCGATGGGTCCTAGAGGGCCACGATCGGTTAAATCAACCTTTACTTGTAGATGGGACCAACTTGGTTCGACATTAAATTCCAAGTGCTTGACATACCAGCCTCATATAATCTTTTGTTGGGCCACTCATGGATCCATGCTGTTGGAGTCGTGCCCTCTACACTACATCAAGTCGTAAAATTTAAATGGAACCGTCAGGAGGTAATCATTTATGAGATAGGAGTAACCCCATCTACACTAGTCAAACCATTCCGTCCATTGGATATAGAAGAAGGCTAGGAGGGGAAACATATCATCACATTGAATGGGTCAATGCCGTCGAGAAGGATAAGTGGTGGAGTAACAAAATAGAAAGCATACTAGCATGTAGGGGTGGGCGTTCGGTATTTCGGTTCGAAATTTGAGTACTTCGGTTCAGTAATTCGGTATATATACCAAATACCGTACCAAAATAGTTCGGTACAGTTCGGTAGTTCAGTACGGTTTCGGTTTGATACATTAATGAGTAAAATTTAAAATATAGGCGCATCAACTACTGAAATTTTTGCTTCAATATTAAATTTCGATATTGCTTCAATATTAAACTGCTTTTTCATATACATCTGTCAACTACTGAAATTAAGTTGTTGAAGTAGATTAACCACGCATAAAAAAATACATTAACAGGAAAATTTAAAAAATACAAATTGCTGCTACTTCATACGCAACACAGCAACAACTAACAAGCATAACTAACATTTATTCAAACACAGCAAAATTAGACTTAAACAGACACAGCAGAATTAGACTAAAGGCCATGTAACAAGCTGCCAATGCCATGTAACAAGCTCTCAAACTGCTAGCATTTAGACACACACAGGCCATGTAACAAGCTGCCAATGCCAAGCTACAATTGTAACTAACATTTACACACTGCCAATGCCAAACATTTACACACTGCCAAGCTGCAATTGTAACTAACATGCAGCAGCCAGCAACAACATCAGGAACACCTGAACAGCCAATTACACTGTGACAGTTACATTTACACATTGCTAATACCAAGAACACCTGAACAGCCAAACCATAAACACAAATACACAACATTTAAGATAAGATAGTAGCAGGCAGCAGCCAAATAAACAAAATGCAAAACAGAGAGGGCATCCCTCAATTCAAGTTTTCACTAATAGTCTCGAATCAACTTAGTCTTAATTCTTAAATACGGATTCCAGGAAGACAAGCAAGACAACGCTTAATATGCTTCCTTAAACCAGATGTTCCATTCTTCTTTGGATTAACATTATAGTCTTGACCATAATGCTTGCACTCTACTTTGCGAACTTCTTCGTTATCTTCTTTCACCTCAAAGTGTTCCCAAATATCAGAGCGTACTTTAGGAGCACGGGGCATGATTGCACTTGAACCTAAAAAAATATAAATCATAAGTTAGAATATTATTTTTGATGATAATAAAAAAAACTACAAAAGTATATCACCAAACAAATAGAGTATTAAACTTACCACTCAAGTTGCAAGTTGCAACTATACATCAAACAATGCTAGTAGTGCTTCCATTATTTTCCATATCTAAAGATAATTCGACCGAATATGTCATACAAATAAACAAGTATGATATATTATTTTGAACTAAAATACACACAAAATATTAAAGCTTACCAAGATCGAGTTCCTCAAGATACTTCAAATCTTCTTCAACACTAATAGGATTCTTCTCTTATCTAAGCCAATCTTGAACACAAATAAGAGCTTGCACACATTTAGGAGTCTATGAACTCCTAAATGAATCAAGAATACGGCCACCTGTGCTAAACACGCATTCCGATGCCACACTAGAAATTGGAATAGCCAACACATCACGAACCAACTCCGAAAGAATAGGAAATCTAGGAGCATGTGTTTTCCACCAACTTAAGATATCAAATTCTTCACTAAATGGCTCTTGTTCTTCACTGATGTATTTATCCAACTCTGATTTAGCACCCCCACTTCCATTGTCTTCCTTTTGTTTCTTCAAGTGAAGCTTCGTCCTTATTAAAGATGCACTTATAACACTCCCATTAGATGTATTAGATGTGTTGTTAGATGAAGTAGAACTAGATGGAGATTAAGGACAAGATTGGGTTGAATACTTTTTTAGATACTCTCCAAACAAAGAATTCATATAAGCATACACCTCAGCATTTATTTTCTTCCCTTTTTCCTCCCCAATAAGTTCTTCAAGTGCTCCCTCAACATATTCAAATTTGTTACGTGGATCCAAAACGGAAGCAATAAAAATTATTTTATTCATCTTTTCAAGCTCACCCCAATACTTCATGAACTTTTCTTGCATTCGCTCAGCCATTTTTCTCAAATGCTCATCCTCACTAACTAAACACATTTTTAAATGACAATAAAGTTCAGATACATCCTCAAAATGAGAATTACAAGCGACATAACATGAACCTGAAATTTTTTTGGTTAGCTCGTGAAATCTTACAAGAACTCTATCACAATCCTCACATTCACCCAATCATCAGATTCAAAAGGACTTGCACTACTACAATCTTCACAAAGATGAGAACATTGATAAGCAAAAAATCCATCATCAAAAAGATGAAACTTGTCAAAGGCCTTTTCAAAGTTTTGTGCCATATCCAACATCAAATAGGTGGAATTCCACCTAGTAGGAACATCCAAACACAATATTTTGGTACATTCTACCTTTACATATGCACAACATTGTTTAAACTTTAAGGTCTTTGCAGGCGAAGATCTCACATACCTCATAATATTTCTAACACGTGTCACGGAAGCATCAAGTTCTTTCAAACCATCTTGCACAATTAGATTTAGTATATGAGCCATGCATCTCACATGAAGATGTTTACCACTCATCATATTAGTTTTCCACATATCTAACTGTTTAGACAATTCTTTGACTGTGACATCATTTGAAGAAGCATTGTCCACGGTAATAGTGAAAACCTTGTCTAATTTCCATTCAAGAAACAATCCCTAACAGCTTTAGCTATCTCTTCACCCTCATGACTAGTGATAGGGCAAAAATTTAGTATTCTTTTATTCAACTTCCAATCCCTATCAATGAAGTGGGCTGTCAAACACATATAATTTATTCTTTGTAATGAAGTCTATGTGTCTGTTGTGAGGTAAATTTTTGGTTGTGATTATCTAAAAGACCTTCTTAAATTTTGCTTCAATTCACCGTAAACTTCATAACTATCCCTTGTTATTGTTCTAAAAGAAGGAAGACGAAATTGTGATTGAGTTTTTCTCATCAACTTCATAAAGCCTTCATTTTCTACAAAGCTAAATGGTAGTTCATCAATAACTATCATCTCAATTAAGGCCCTCCTAACCACTTCTTGATCAAATTTCCAAAGTGATCCTTCATCATTTTGGCAAGATTGAAAATTTATCGTTGTTTGACTATTATCTTTAACAATGTTAAGTGGGTATTCTTTCCATCTAAGAAAATGATTCTTCAATCCTGTTGTTTCATTCTTAGAAAAACTAGCAGCATAAGCTTGCTTACAATATCTACATCGTGCTTTACCAATCCCTTTTACCTCAAATTTATCAAAATGGTTCCAAACGTCAGACCTATGTTGCATGGCTTTCCTTTTCTTAGAATCTTTAGTATCAATGGTATTGGTATTGCTATCTACCGTAATAGGTAAACTTTCACTTGAACTAGCATCACTTACTCTATTTTCATCTGCCATCTATACAAAATTAAACAAATATAAACACAAATTAAGAATCAACAAGTTTTAGGTCTTGCGGCAGCTAAAAGCAAAGATAGAGTATAACCATTTGAGCACTATTTTCCAAAGATGTGTAGATTACAAATGTATTGTTCTTACAAACTCATGACAATAAATTAGATTCGGACATATTTGAGTAAAGGAAATACTTATGTCAAGACTTGTTAAAGTATCAACTATTTTTTAATAAACAAAGCCAAAGGAGCAACACACAAGCAAACTAGCAAAGTCAAAATATTTCCAATGCCTCCCCTGCTGAGGTAATTTATGATGACAATCATTCAGCTATCATTCTGTGTACAACAAATGCAGCACTAGCAATGTCTTAACTAGATATGACACGATGTGTAAATCTAAAGATCACAAATTTATTGCTGGGAAACTCTTTTTAACAGCAACAAAAAAAAGAAACTCTTAAAGCGCGGACTTATAAGAAACGTTGTTCTAGCAATTAATTAATCACTAATGATAGGTTAAGGAAACATAATTACACCTCAGATACGAACAATAACAGGAAGTCAGGAATAGAAATATAAAACAGTAGCAACTGTAATTCTAGTCCGCACTGTAACAATTAACATTGTGTCAAGCATCAGAGAGATTTCCATCGACAAATCAAGGTGGGCATTTAGTATTTGAAAATTGAAAGTAGAAATCGCTAGAAAGTAGAAACATACCTTTGAAAATTGAAACTATCGCAAGTTCGCAACAGCAGCGTCTTTGTTTGCCCGGAATTTGTGAGGAGTGAGGACTCGGAGCTCGGAAATAGCCATATCGCAAATCGTCTAACGCATGTACTATGAGTCTGCGACTGCCTAATGCTAAAGCTAAATTGCTAAATGCTAATGGCAGGCGATGCCCTAATCTTTAGACTTTAGAATTTAGAGTGGGCTTGGCAGTTGGGCTGGGGCGATGGGCTGGGGCACTTGAATTTAAATAAAAAAGGTTTCAGCATCAGGCGTTGGGGCTGGGATGGGCATTAAGAAAAATAGAAAATGTTTTTAAAAATTTGGTATTTCTGTATACCGAAATTTCAAAATTCTAATACCAAGGACCATACCGAAATATCGAAATTGCAATACCGAATTAGACCGAAATACCGAAAAAACTGAAACTGAAATACCGAATTAATTAGGTCCGATTCAAAATTCGGTTTTTCGGATTTTATGCCCACCCCTACTAGCATGGTCCGGATATGAACCCGGCAAAGGGTTGGGAAAGAAACTCCAGGGTATCACCAAGACGATACGGCTGAAAAATCATGGTACCACCTTTGGGCTCGGATACCAGTATACATGGCAAGAGTACAGGGAGTGGTCACCTTCATGGCGTGGACCATACTACCCTCTTGAGCAACCGGTACCCCGTTTGGAACAAGCTTTCCATCAGGCTAACACAATATAGGGAACTGTAGAAGAAGAAGCATTAGCTGGGCTGAAGGATCTGTTCTTGGAAGACGAGGACGTAGATTGTTGTTCCATAATTGAGGAGGAGGAGGAGGAGGAAGAAGAAGGCCTCACCATTCAGACTGCGGAAAAGGGAGTTGTTCTCAGAAACTGGACCGCCGCACCATCCGGAGCCCACCGAGTCCCTAGGTAGCTTGGCAGAATTTATAGCCATTGTAGGCATTTTAAATTTTCAGCAATTTTGTTTTAAGATTTCTTTATTTCAAAATAAATGCTCGATCCACTGAGCCAAACTTTATTTGAACAATTTTACCAGTTTTAATCAAATGCATTTATCCTTTATCATTATTCATTACTATTTTATACTTTTCCCTTCTACAGTGTTATTATTACTTTTCCTAATGAACCAGTGACTTTGACATGTAATGAGGCAACGCAACATGAGAATAGTGATTCAGAGGAAGAAGATGAGATACCCAAGAAAATTGTCAGAGAAGTTGAGAATTTTGAGAACAAGCCTAAATATAACTTGGACGAAACAGAAACAGTAAATTTGGGAGATGTCAAGACCGTCAAAGTGACTCGCATCAGCATTCACTTGTCGCCAACAGAGAAGGAAGACCACATCCATTTTCTAAAGGAATATGAGGATATCTTCACATGGTCGTATGGCAATATGACCGGTTTGAGCACATCTATAGTAGCTCACAAGTTTCCTACCAATCCCATGTGTCCGCCAGTCAAGCAGAAACTCAGATAATTCAAATCAGACATGAGTTTGAAAATCAAGGAGGAAGTTACCAATAAGATCAAAGCCAAGGTTCTCAGGGTGGTTGAGCACCCAACATGGTTAGCTAACATTGTGCTAGTTCCGAAGAATGACGAGAATGTCAGGGAATGTAATGACCCGACTGGTTGTTTTGAGCTTTTTAACTTTGCTCGCCAGTTCTCGGTCATGAAAATCCCCGCGTGATGTATTATGACTTATGTAAATCATTGGTTTTGATTTTCAAGTAATCGGAATAAATTTGGAAGAACAGTTCCCAATTTGAAACTTAAAATTTGAAAAGTTTGACCAAGATTTAACTTATTGGTATATGATCTCAGATCATAATTTTTATGACTTGGTTAGCTCCGTTAGGTAATTTGGGACTTAGGAGCCTAATCGGAATGCATTTTGGAAGTCCGTGGAAGGTTTAGGCTTGAATTGGCGGAATTGAGATTTTGGTGATTTCCGGTTGATAGGTGAGATTTTGATATAGGGGTTGGAATGGAATTCCGGAAACTGCAGTAGCTTCGTTGTATCATTTGTGACATGTGTGCAAAATTTCAGGTCATTCCGATGTGGTTGGTTGGCTTTTTGATCAAAAGCGTAATTCGGAAGATTTTGGAATTCTTAGGCTTGAATTTGATGCAAATTTGGTGTTTTAATGTTGTTTTGAGCATTCCGAAGATTGGAACAAATTTGAATGATGTTATGGGATTTGTTGGCTTGTTTGGTTGAGGTCCCGAGGGCCACGGGTGAGTTTCGGGTGGTCCATCGGGACATTTCATGTTTTGAAAAGTTGTAGAAATTACTGATCAGTGTTGCAGAGAAAATGGCCTTCGCATTCGCGAAGGGTTAGCTGGTGAAGGCTGGAATTTTAGCCTTTGCGTTTGCGAGGCAGGCTCCGCATTCGCGAAGGGGCTGTGTGATTGGTCATCGTGTTCGCGTGAAGTGGACCGCGTTCGCGTAAGAGGAATTGGGCAGCTGAGCTTTAGGGCGTTTACTCATCGTGTTCGCGATAGAGGTTACGCGATCGCGAAAAGTTAGTCTATGGAAGCATCGCATTCACAAGTCGCAAGACGCGATCGCGAAGAAGGATTTTTGGTCAAGCTGGATTGTGCTTCGCGAACACGAGGTTTTGACCGCGTTCGCGATGAAGGGTTTTGATGCGTGGGCAGAATATTTAAATAGCCATTGTCCGCAATTTTGGGGCTAACTTTCACCATTTTTGGGAGATTTTGGAGCTTTTTGAGAGGATTTGAAGAGGGATTCAAGAGATAACACCTGGAGGTAAGATTTTTGAACTCAATACACAATTCATGTGTGAATTCTACCTAATTAATCATGGAAATTAAGCCTAAAATTAAGGAATTAGGGCTTGAATTTGGAGAGTGTAAATTGGAGATTTGAAGGGGTAATTGAGGTCCGATTTTGATGTTCCTGGTATGTATAGACTCGTGAGAGGATGAGGATTCTATTGATATGACTTTTATCGGATTCCGAGACGTGGGCCCGGGGCCCAGTTTGAGCAATTTCGGGATTTTTGATGTAAATTGGATATTTTTGAGTGGGCTTTGTTCCCTTAGCATATTTTAATAGTTATATACCGATTGTGGCTAGATTTGGAGTATCCAAAGTTCGATTCGTGGGGGCAAAGGCATCGCGGGCTAGAGTTTGGACAGGATCGGGGTAAGTAATGATTGTAAATGTTGTCCTGAGGGTTTGAAACCCCGGATTTCACATTGTTATGCTATTTTGAGGTGACACACACGCTAGATGACGAGCATGGAGTCGTGCACCATTGGGGATTGTGACTTGGTTTGTCCTGTACGGCTTTTAAGTCACGTATTTGATTTGAAATCTTATGATATTCCATATTTTAGAGATTGATATTACATCTTGGGTTGTATGCCATGTTTGGGGCCTTATGCCGACCTGTTGAGACCCTTAGAGGCATTTTCACTACTTTTCCTCACTTTATTTGTTTTTGAAAGAATATCCTCAATCATGTTTTACCTGTTATTTTTTAAATCTGGTTTTATCACTTTACTTCTTAAAATGTGAAAATTGTTTGGGCTGAGCTCCCTATTTTATTGATGGTCTGAGTGATTGTGAGGTTGATGACTTAGATAGACCAAGGGTCTGATAGTGAGGTTAATGACTGAGATAAACGGAGGGTCTGATAGTAAGGTTAATGACTAAGAGAAGTCGTAGGCCTGGTTGTGAGGATTATATATTTATGGATCGGGTTGCACACCGCAGCAATATATATATATATATATATGTATATATATATATATATATATATATGGATCGGGTTGCACGCCACAGCGATATGTTGGATCGGGCTGCACGCTGCAGCGATATAGCGCTTGGGCTGTAGGAGCCCCTATGGAGTCTGCACACCCCCAGTGAGCTTAGTCGACTATATATATGGATCGGGCTGGACGCTGTAGTGATATACGGGTTGGGTTGCACGCCGCAGCGGTTACTATATGGTACTTATTGAGTGTGAGTGCTGAATGTGAGCGTGGACTGATGAGAGTTGAGTCTCGAGTGACTGAGAGGCTTGCCCGAGGGGCTGTATACATATATGAGTGATGATTTTCCCGAGGGGCTTGTTTTGATGTAATTGTTGTTTTCACTCCTCTTTATACTGAGCCACTATTGAAAATGTTAAACAAATATTTTTAAACAACTTTCACTTAAGCTGGAGTTTTTATGATATATTCGGTATTTAATCACTGAGTTGGCTTTCTTATTTCCACTAAGAATTTTTATGTTATAAGGTGTTTATGATTCCTGTTTTGCCCGAGGGGCTGTTTACGAACTATGTTTTGCCCGAGGGGCCGACTATGGTTTTCATCTCTTTTATTATAAATGGTATTGAACCCCTACTGAAACTGCTGGAAAGCATTTGAAATGATTTTTAGCAAAGGCTGGATTTTAAATGAGACGATTGACTCGTATTCTGATTTGAAAGTCTGTTGTGCTTATTGAGTTTATCATAAATGTGGATTCATTATTGAGTACTCACATTACTCCCTGCACCTCGTGTGTAGATTTAGGTATTTCGGAACCCGATACCGGGTGTTGATTGCCCAGACGCGGAGTCATCAGAGTTAGCAAGGTGGTTGCACGACGTTCGCAGCACTACTTCCTTCCTCTTATTTTCATTATTGTACTTAATACATTTTTGACTGTTTTGTTGTATTCAGACCTTGGTAGATGATCATGACTAGTGACACCTCAATGTCGGGCTTGTGTAATTATTCCGCACTTTTCTTTTAAATTTTCATTATGAGATTATTGTTTATAAATGGTATAAAAACAACTTTTATTGAAAAAGGGTTTATTCGAGAGTTGTGTCGGCTGGCCTAGTTTCACGATAGGCGCCATCACGACAGGGTCGGTTTTGGATCGTGACAAGTTGGTATCAGAGCCTAGTTACATAGGTCTCACGAGTCATGTGCAGGTTTAGTAGAGTCTCGTGGATCGGTATGGAGACATCTGTATTTATCCTCGGGAGGCTGCAGAACCTTTAGGAAAAACTTCACATTCTTGAATTCTTATCGTGCGTCCTTGATTTAGCTTGAAAAGTAACTCTTTGAATTCTTTCCACGCATTCGTATGCGTGTATGAGCGGTCGGTATCATATGTGCATCGATGGATTGTGATTCCTCGATCAAGGGGCGAGATGTGATCTCTATGTGTTGATGTTGGGCCAGTCTGGAAGACTTGAGGCAGGATTTTTTCCTATAGCTCGAGCCCTGAGCTGTTGATTTTGTGAGTGCGTGCTTCTGGATTTATATGTTCTGTTATGTCCCTATTAAGGGGAGTAATGACTGGATAGCTACGTGATGAGTATGTTATGACTGCGAGGTGTATTCATATGATTTGGAAATGACGAGAAGGGTCTGTTGGAGGATAGAAGAACTATGAGGTACTTGATTTTCATCTCGATTTGAGGTATAGCCTCGAGTTATGGGTGTGTGAAGAATCTTTTCATGTCTTCTAGTTGGGAGTGAGTAAATTTCATGTATAGTATGAGTTCACCCTCAGGAAGATTAAGTGACTGCTAATGGTTTTGACGGTGGAAGGTATACTGAAATGTTAGTTTGAGGCAAAGCAGGTGGGGTTATCTCCAGCGGAGTGTTCTGAAGTGGTGTGATCCTTATGTTTTCTGTTAGAAGATCTCATTTACAAGTAAATTATATGTGTTGGAATTTAAATTTGAGTCGCTTAAGAGAGTGAGGTTCAACTGCTACGAGAGTGAATGCGTAACTTGCATAAGATTTAAAATACCAGGTGTTCTGTGTTTCACGAGTGTATGAAGGGTTGAGTTTAAATCTCACTATGGTATTATGGCAGCAATAGAGTATATGTATTATGAGTTATTGTGTGTTTTTTGGTCTATGGCTTCGAACCAAGTGGGGGAGTCTGCTATT